TGCAGGCTGTGCCTGCCCTGATTAATTTGCTATCAGATGGGCACACGGGATTGCTGCCTCAGGCCAGGAAGGATGTAGTTTGAAAAGACCAAGATCTTGCTGCCTCGCCTTTCCTCCTCCCTTGAAGGGAGTGGTCATGCTTTTTATGTAGGTTTTGAATGTAAATAAGTGCGTGAGGAGTCCATGACATAGGCAGACCTGTTTAGATGGCAGCTTGGCCCTGGGAAGGTGTGTTTCTGGGCCTGGCTTCTTGTTTGGTTTTGGGCCAAAGAATGTGTAGGGAGGCATTCAAAACGTTCCCAGTGTAACTAACTGGCTTCCAACATGTGTCAGCTCAGTGTAGTTGGCAAACGGTCCTTGGGGTGCCATTGGTGACAGCTTGAGCTGATCTAACCTGTGACTGTTGAACATTCCTTGCTCTTCTACTGTGCCAAGCCCGTTCTCCGTGGTTTATCATTCACATGGTCAGCTGGCTTGGGTAACTGCCCGAGTCGGTGGGAGAGGAGGAGCGAGGGACCTAGCACAGTCCCAATTCTGATGGCTTACGCTGCTGTGGTGCTGCAGCCGTGTTAACGTTGCCGTGAGCGGGTACAAAATCCTGCTGCTGCCGGAAGAGTTGCTCCTGCCGCCCCTCCTGGCCGTGCGTCCTCGCTGCTCCCTTGTGGTGGCAGTTAGGTCACCTCACCTCAGTTAGGTCAGATCTCTATCCAGGTAAAAACTGGCACAGCAGAAAAAGCCCACGTTTGTGCTGGCTTAGCTTTCCCAGTGTTTGGTGTGTAGACCCAAGCTGGCAGGTCTCCTTGCGCGGCCTGGCGGGCGGTTCCACGCCTATCACTGGCCTCCCCACTGCCGGGGCTGCTGGCTCTGGGCAGGCTCAGCTTGGGGCTGCTGTGCCTGTGCCGGTGGGGCAACGCCATCCGCCGTGCTCAGGGATGAAGAGCATACCCTGCCGTGCCTCTGGGCTGGCTGAGAGTGACTGTGGAAGCCTGGCTTAACTCCGGCTGCTTCTTCCGTCGCTCTTGGTTGTGGTTTCACAACGGTGCCAAAACCCACCAGCCCCGACACCGGGCGAGTTCCCTGTTGGCTGGCTCAATCTGCAGGAAGGGAAAAAGGACAGCTGCAGCTGTGCTGGAAGCATTGTTGGAAGGAGAACTCTGTTCTGCTGTTCTAGTTCTGAAAGAGCTACCTGAGAAGTTTTCTAATGGCTTTTCTATCCCGAATCTTTGGGACAAATCCAGGTTAGGGAGAAACTGGGTGTGCTGACTCTACAAGGATGTGAAATGTGTTAGGGCACACCCTGACGCCTTGGGTTTGGTACCGGTGTGCGATGTTTTAACGAAACTCTGAAGTGGAACTGGGTTTGTGATCTGCGAAGGCTCGGTCAGCCCTGAAATCTCTTCAGATGAAGTGCGCTCTTCTTTATCACTCAATCAAATTTTTTCAGCTCCCAGTTTGGAGTAGTGCATGCCGTAGGGAGGAGAAATACTTGATGAATGTAAAAAGAGGCTGGTATTCTGTCTTCAGAGATGACTAAGATTTTCCTGGAGGTTTCCTGGTACATATTTTTAACTACTATTGAGCTGAAAAAGGGAACGAGGTACGATTTGGAGCCATGGCTCGTGTGAACAAAATACTTGAACTATTCTTTATTTAGCCAAAAGTGTCATGTATGTAAGAGTGTCTTTCCTGCAAGGATGGTGCAGGCAGAAGTTGTGTAGGGTGAAGTCACTTTTCAAGTTTGCTAGTCCCTAACTGAAATTCACTGTAACCTTTTTAGAAAACGAATTCACAACTGTATTAAAGAAAAAAAAAAAAAAAAAACCCAAAAAAAAACAAACCCAAAAATATTAAGGTTGCAAACCAGCTGTTGAAGTCTCTTCCAGGTCTTCAGAGGTATGACACAGACACATGCATCTTGAATTTACGAGGGTCTGTGTCGTGGCAAACAGCCTCAGTTTTGGTAACTTTTGTCATAGACATTTCTGCTAATTATGTCTTTTTTCTTTCCTTCCTTGCACCCCAGGTGTTTGAAACAAACCCAAAAATATTAAGGTTGCAAACCAGCTGTTGAAGTCTCTTCCAGGTCTTCAGAGGTATGACACAGACACATGCATCTTGAATTTACGAGGGTCTGTGTCGTGGCAAACAGCCTCAGTTTTGGTAACTTTTGTCATAGACATTTCTGCTAATTATGTCTTTTTTCTTTCCTTCCTTGCACCCCAGGTGTTTGGATTGTAGCATAGAGGCACTATGTACTCAGAGTGGAGATCCTTGCATCTTGTCATTCAAAATGATCAGGGTAACACCAGTGTGCTGCACAGCTATCCTGAAAACGTGGGGAGAGAAGTGGCAAACGCAGTGGTGCGTCCTCTTGGACAGGCTTTAATTACATCATCTGTTGGAAGTGAAAGTTTACTGAAAACAGACAAAGAAGTAAGTGCATTTCCTTAGAGATCGTAGTTTCCTTCATGACAGAGTGGCAAGTTAATGATTCTTCTATAGCTTCTTTTATCTTTCTCTAAGTAGTCCAAGTTTATGAAGTGTGCTATGTTGTTAGTTGGTAAGCTATGTGGGGCTTCTATGAACAGCTAGTTCGCAGCAACACACTGCGCTTCATGGCCTCGGAATAAATATTTGTCTGAGCTGTTGTACCTGGAAGTTCAGGCTAAACCAAAACAAAACCCCAAACCAAACCAAAAACCAAACCACAAAAAACCCAAATGAACAAACAGAAGCAAAAAAAACCCAACCAAAGAAAATAAACCAAACAAGGAATTTAGCAGTTAGTTAACATACAAAGGCTTTCTAATTACCTACATTTCTGAAGCAACAGTACCTGACTCTTAAAAATAGTCTTTGTATAGTGCAAGTGTTTACTAGAACTTGAAAATCTTCTATTACATCACCTCTTGTGTGTTCTGAAGAGGTCTCTCTGCAGTTTAGACTCAAGAGATTCAGGATTTAGAGTCATTTGCCATTCATTTATAATTTTCACAATGTCACGATATACAAACTAACGACTTGGTGTTTTCTTGCAGTGTGTGTTAAATAGAATTGCCCGTGCCATGTAACTACTGCTAGCTTGTTAAGTTAGAACTAATGCGCTAGGAGTGTTGCTTACTTGCTAGTATTTATCTTTAATAACTGCTGCTTTGTGTTTGGTCAGGTAAAATGGACTATGGAGGTGGTTTGTTACGGACTGACCCTCCCTCTGGATGGCGATACTGTGAAGTACTGTGTCGACGTGTATACAGATTGGATTATGGCTCTTGTATTACCTAAGGACTCCATTCCTTTACCAGTTATTAAGGAACCAAACCTTTATGTTCAAAGCATTCTCAAACACCTTCAAAATCTCTTCGTACCGAGGTGAGCGTTAGGGCTGGGGCACTGGGAGATGCAGGAATTCCCAGCCATAGTGGGCAGGTCACCTGTCCGAGAGGCCTGAGGAGCTGTGGGGGCTCTTGATGAAAATAAGACTGCTGTCGTTGCAAAGTTAGTTTGTATTTTTCAGTAGCAAACTGAAACGATGTGACCATGTGTCACTGGTGCTTCAGAACAAACCCTGCAGAGGAGTGCTTGTTATCCCACAGCCCGGTGTTGCATAAGACGTCCTTTGATGACAGTGTTGAAATAACATGCTTCTAAATCTTGGATCAAGTTATTGTCAGAGTGCTTAAACATCATGCTTGGTTTATAGTTTATAGATACATTTTTACCTGCTGCTCTGGAACACAAATATTCTTGTAAGTAAGAGCAGATTATCTAATGGTGCCCTGTGAAACTGTACTTAAGTATTGAAATTACCTGAAATTACTTCAGATCAATGTTGAGTGTGTCTGTTCGTACCAGATCATCTGTTTTTATCAGTATTAATAATGTATCGCTGCAAGTGGCCTTCTAAGGACTCTGCTGCACTTGGATCATTTAACTTTACTGAAGTGCTTTGAATAATAACTCGTACAACTTCAGATGGGCAGTTTGTTGCTATTTATTGATTGCTTCAAAGTCTACTACCTAACCTTGGTTGTCATTGCTCTTGAATTGTAGTGAAAAAGGCATTTTAATTCCCATTAAAGGGTGGTCAGGGCAGCAGCAGAAATTGGAGGAAAGCACGCTTCTGGATTAGACTTCTGCAGAAGATTGGCTCTGAGCTGTAATACCTGCAGAATAGAGTCTGCTGTCTGGGGACCTTTTTTCCCTTGGCATAGCAAAGAACAAATTCTTTAAGAGTCTACTAAAGAGTTCTTGCTGTGTTCCACCCTTCTCTCCCATCTTAATTTATGGAGCCCCATGCCAGCCGGTAGACTGCATGTGATGGCTGTTGAACAAAATAACACCCAGAGACAAGAAGGGCTGGAAAATCATCGTTTTAAATGCCCACACCCCTCCAGTGTAATGATCCTATTGGTTTTCTTTTGAAAGCATCCAAGATGTACCTGAAACAGTTTTTTCGGGGCTACTGCTGCCAACATGGGATGCTTGTTTTAAAGAAAAAGAACTCCAGATTCTGTCCTTCAGGGAGCTGTGTTCAGAATTTACTCCAGCAACAGGAAGACGTTTCGTAATGGAGATTAAATGCAGAAGTGAGTTGTGCACACCTTGCCTGGGTGAAAGCAGAGGCTCATGTTCTTAAGGAACAGGAGAGTAATTTCTGGTTTCAGCCAAACAAGGCAGGTTGGTGGTGCTGATGGGCTCCTGTGGAGTATAACCCAGGAGCCCTTGTAACAACCCGCCTTGAACCATCTCCGTGAAAAAAATCTCCTCTTGCGTTGAAAATACTAAGCCTTTTTTATAGACACATGTCCTGTGGAGGGATGCAATTAAAATTAGCTTCCTTCCTCATCCTGGTTTCTTGGAAATGATGCAGCTTTTCGTTTGGCTGCCTTAAAAGTGGTGGCCCAGTTTGTGGTGAGGGTCTGGGACCCTGAGGAAGATGTGTAATTGGGGTGGGAAGTGCAGCAGCCTTGAGCGAGCCCGTTAGCTGAACATCTCAGGAACATGGATACACCAAATCCAGAGCCAGGGTGTGCATCTCGGTGTAGTTTGCTCAGCGGAATCAAACGTTTACATGCAGAGTCCTTGCAAGCGTGTGGTGTTGCCAAAGGACTGGTGACCGATGGGTGAGCCAGGCTGCCTTTCCTCTCTCTGCCGCGCGGACTAGAGAGGGGGTGCTTGCGGCCTCCCTCTAGCGCTGACCTTCTGTCCACCCTGATGAAATGAACGCTTCTTGACTTGCTTGAGCAGTCCCTAGGCAGCCCCCAGGCTTTCTTTCTCTGGCAGCCCTACGGTATTCAGGAAGCCCCGTGGGTTACTTAAGCAGTAGTGGTAGTTACTGCTGTCACATAAAGGTTCAGTGCTGCAAACTCTTGTGGGAAGTGGAGGAAGAAATTACAAGAACTCTCTCCTCCTGCCTCCTCTCCCAAGAAGGTTAAGGTGCAGGTACCAGGGTCTCCTGTGTAACTGAAGGGTCTGGAATTGCTTGAGAGACTGTGGAGCGTATGACTGTCCGAGTGTAACAGATACTTTTTCGGAACAAGTTAGGCTTCTCCTATGAAGTCCTGAGAGCAATTCTGGTTGCAAGGGAGTATGGGAACCAAAAGGTTCTGTAGAAACCTAGACATGAGTTTGCAAAGTGCTACAGCCCAAGTTTGCTGTTCAGTTGACTTTGTGGGCAAGAGGAGCTGGTAGATGGATGAGACTTTAAAGCTGACGTTACCAGATCAGCTCAGAAGTATCCCATTAATCATCTTGTGTATGGAGCTCCGACGTATAAGCCCTCTGTTCGTGGTTTTCCGAAATGATTAGCGAAATAAGTCGTGGAACAGGCTTTGACACTTCAAATCTGTCAAGATTAAGGATGTCTTTTGATTGAAGTATCTGCTCTGTTGTCGCTCAGTGAAAAATTAGTGCTGTATCCACGGCAGAGCTTGCTTGTCCTGAGCGTGGTTGTTCTATGGCGACTGTCAGGATCTAGCGCTAACATCTCACAACCCGCTGAAGTCCCGAGCTGTGACTAGTTTCTGCACTCTTGCATTAACAATTATCTTGTTGCTCCGGAATCTTGTTTCCAGTACTGTAACGCAGCAGTTACTCTGTCAAGGTAGGAGCTGATAGCATTTGTACAGCGTGTCTGTCGGTGAGCGATCTCAACGTGAGCTGCTGTTCTCAAAGGAAAGCAGCTCTCTATCTGATGCGTCAGCATGTTCTCGAGATGATTACCGTACCGCAGGACTAGTGTTGGCACTCCTGGTTGCCTGTGGTAGGGAATCTGGTAATACTATCCAGTAGTCCAGTGGGAGGTAATATATTTATGGTTTTGTTGTTGTTGTCCCTTTGGTAAGTGGCAGGAGGGACGGGGAGACAGCATGCAGATTGAAACGTGCCTTGCGTGTGTTGCGTGCTCTGATTTGTAATCTCCTCTTCCACCCGTTAAACTTCTGGGCTTCCTCCGCTTTGTTTATCAGTGTCCGCACATACTGTCCAGAAGTTTTCACGTTACTGTTTTGTACCTGTTCTGCCTTGTCTGAACTAACTGATGGGAAGAGCATTTGCTGCTGCTGCGGCACTTCGTGTTGAGGGACTTGATGTTGGTGGTGTGGAACCTGTTGTTATTACAGGGAAAACCTTGATAATATCAACTTGTTCTCTTTCATTCTTACTTAAACCCTCTTCCTTTAGTCTGAACAACCAGATGTAGTTAAAGGTATCCCTGCTCACTGCAGGAGGGTTGGACTAGATGACCTCTAAAGGTCCCTTCCAACCCAGCACGTTCTACGATTCTGTAATTTTTCTATTTAATGACTGTCTTCCAGATTTTTTACTTTATTTTTATTTTTAAAATCCGAGGTGTTGGGAATAAGAGCACATTTGGAAGCAAGAGAAGAACTGGGAAGAATTTAAATTAATTTGCTAACAACATTTTTTGTGAATTCTACAGCTTTTCTTTTAGATTATGTGTGTAATAATCAGTGATGTCTCAACTACATTTCTCACTGTTTGGTCTAAGTTAGATTCCTTTTGTGGTAATGGGTTGTGCTCGCTCCATTTAGCGTTCACTCTCTGGTGGTGAGTTCTGTGCTGTGTAGAGGAGGACGTTACGATACATCTTGTACTCATTAAGGCAGAGTTAGGGTGGATAGAAATGTAGTAGCTCATGCTCCTGGCTTTTGTTCAATGATATTGATGTTTCATCTTACAATTGCTCAAAGCTCAGATTATATACACTTGACTTCACAGTTCTTGTTCAGACACTCAAATATTATTTTCTTCTCTTGCAGGCCAGACCCCGGATCTAGTCAGATTAGATTGTGCTTGCAGGTTTTGAAAGCTGTCCAGAAACTGGCTCGTGAGTCCACAATTATGGCAAGAGAAACCTGGGAGGTTTTGTTGTTATTTCTTCTTCAGATCAATGACACTCTTCTAGCAGCTCCAACTGTGCAAGGTTCACGTTCAACTCCCACTTGGTTCAATACGGGAAAAACATTTGGCTCTGCTTGATGTTGAGCTGCCGAGGGGGTAGGGGGAAACCTGTTAAAAGCTCTGAGTAGCCACGAGAGTACAACAGCTCACTCCTAATGTGCTACACTACTCTGAAATAAAGTATTGTCAGAGAAGACTGAATGAGTTGGAGCTGAGTTTTCCTAAACATGTTTTTGCAGAACAGTCGCTCTGTAAAGGAACAATTTGTGGTGAATGATTTCAGACAGTGTTGTTCCCTATTTGTTTCACTGAAAGCCCTGTGTCTTGCTGTTTTGCCTGCCTACTGGAAGATAATATTGTCAGTTTATAGCTATTTAAGAAAACAACACATTAGTGTAGATACAGTTCAACAGAGCACAGCTTGAGATCAGTGAATTCCCAGGGTCCCTTAGCAACACACATGTGTGACTGGGCTTTATATATTAGTGTTTTTTCTTGTAAAAAGACTAATTGGCTGTAGGAAGCAATCAGGAATCTTAAGTGAGAAATGATGAAAAAATTAGCTTAAGAGTCTTTATTCGCTTAAACTGAAATATTCTTTGGGAGATATTTGGAGTTATTTAAACTGGGTACTCACTAAAGGCATGCTTTGTTTCTCTTACAAGGTGGCATTGCTGAAAATCTGGCCGAAAAATTAATCGGCGTGCTGTTTGAGGTGTGGTTACTCGCTTGCACGCGGTGCTTTCCAACACCACCCTACTGGAAAACTGCCAAAGAGATGGTGGCCAACTGGCGACATCACCCCGCAGTAGTTGAGCAGTGGAGCAAAGTCATCTGCGCCCTTACCTCCAGGTAGGAGAGATCCCATGAAGATAAATACACGTGGACAGAGATGACCAGAGGTGTACGTGCTTTTCTCTGGAGTTGCTTATTTGTGAAGAGCTCTGAGAGGGAGTGAGCTGAACCACAGTGAGAGATCTTGCTGGTATCGTTGGCTTTTGCTGTTTGTGTGTGTGGTTTGCTCTGCAAGCGAAGACCCTGAATTGGGTCATCTCTGTTCCTTTGCAATCCCAGCACCTCTCCGATCTTTAGCGCTTTACTGTGTGCCTGTGTTAGTCTCCATCACTGTGAGTCTTCGTGGTGTCCCATGGAGAACGAGTCATGAATACTAGTGTAGCCTGTACGTTTAAGGCAGTTACCACCAACATTCCTTGGTGCTTGTTACTATGTTTGAGGTGACTCCCGGACCCTGAAGCCGTGCCGTGGCTGCCTGGTGCTCGTGTCCTGGCAGCGGGGATGCGGTGGGCCAGAGGCTGCGGGCTCTCCTCCAGAGAGCATTGCAGGAGAGCTGTGCAAGCCTTGCTGGCCGTGGGAGCAGCGAGGGTCTCTGGGCTGTGCGAGAGATTGGGCCAGAATAGAAGGTCCTGAGCAGTGAGGGGAGTCTCATACCCTTAGTGCTGGGGGTTTTGTGCTATGGGGCCTTTGTGGGACAAATCTCAGTCTCTTAGGGGAAAGAACTCAAGGAATTGGTGAGGAACAGAGGCCTGGGTCTCTTCCTTCTGGCTCTTAATTACCATTTCTATGAAAGTTCAAAGTTGTATTAAAATGGCTGCACTGCAAAAGTTCCATAGTGTGCTTTTCTGTGAGGGTTTATTTTAACTCTGACAACTTCTGCTTTTGAATTACCCGTCAGAATTCCAGGCATGGATAGATGTTTCCAGGTTATGCAGCTACTTGTTAAATCTGTGGGAAGTAAAGCTGCAATACAAGTTCTGCGTATTTCCCACGCTATTGCTTTAGCTATTTTTAGCTCATTAGATGCGGCGTTGCGTAACAGAAAATATTTTATGATTCACTGATCTGAAAAGAACAGCTCTGTCTCCAGACATGCATTGGTGTTCTGCTCCACGCACTATGCCCACACTTCATCTTCCACTGCTGACGCGTGCTAATCTGCAGGTTTTCTGTAACGCTTTGGCTTGCTGTACAGCAATGTCGGTTCACGCCTAATATATAAAAAAGCCCTGAACTCCTCTGAGGCTGACTTTAAGTTCAGTGGTGTTTTAAGCTGCACTTTCAATACTTCAGTGAAGCTCCAGCTTCAAATGGTTGAAGTGTCATTTTAGTAAACTTCTGAATTGGGTTATTAACCCAGTAATATTTCAACTTAAAGCCATATAGAAAAATATATTGTTATGTTTCTTGTTCATTACAATCAACTCTAAGCTTAGAAATAAGGGTGGAAATAATTGAAGCAAGAACTGGTACTAAAAGTGAGCCTAGCTTAAGGAAAGGCAGAAACTAGTTTCTGGGAATGCTAGGGAATCGGGGGAGGTGTAAGTTGAATCTCTTCCATCGTCTTAGAGAACACCAAGATCGTGTTGAGAAGGGAAATTGATCTATAAGTTTGCAAAGCTCGGATAAAGCCGGGGTCAAATCGGGCAGCAGGGGCTCGGTGAAGCTTATTTGTGACTGATCAGGTAGTTCCAGCGCTTGTGGAGAGGGATATCTGCTCCTGTAAGCCGTTACGCCCGTGATGCCGTGTTGCCGTGAACCCTCTGCGGGTTTGCCTTCGCTGCTCGGCACCTCCCAGCTTCTCCCAAACGCGGTGTGTCTTTTTTGGAGAACTTGCCGCTCCCTGCATCACAACTCCCGAGCTACTTGCAGGATGGCATCAAGTGTTGCTCAGTGTGCTGGTGTGAATCGCAAGTCATCGGTAACTTGGAACTTAGACCTGGAGCCTTTTGTGGCTCTGGGGAGTTGTGCTGTCACGGCTCTCGGAGTCGGTCGGACCCCTGGGCAGGCTGCAGGGCAGGCACCCTGCAGAGCTCTGGAAGGGCCAGGTGATTGCATGAAATGGGCACAACTTGGCATGTTGTGCTGTTGCTTGTGGGCTCACCTGTGGAGCGCCTGATTGCTTTGAGGCTCAAATGTGCTGTTAAATTTCCAGGGAGTATTAACTGAACGATGGGTCTGTCTGATTTGCTTTCTAGATTGCTGCGTTTTACATATGGACCTTCATTTCCTCCATTTAAAATTCCTGACGAAGATGCTGGTCTGATTCCTCCTGAAATGGATAACGAGTGTGTTGCACAAACTTGGTTTCGCTTTTTACATATGCTGAGGTATTGTAATTGCAGCCACCCATCATTCGTGTTCTTGCATCGTTTCTATCAATTTGCGTGACAAATGAAAAATTTCTTTGGAGATCGCCAAGATGAAGTACCTAGATGGAATGAAATGCAGAAGACTTGTGCTGGTGCCCTGGGACAGCTCAGGGCAAGGTTGTGAGTGGGTTGTTCAGCTTCGAACTCTCTGACTCTCTCAGAATGTAAACGGGTTCATTTAATCAAAGTTTTTAGCTATTTGGCATTTTGGGGGATCTGAAAAATGAGATTTCAGAACAATTTCAGTTCTCTGAGATAGCAAACAGGAAGAGCAGAACAATAAAGGAGAGATGTATATGGCTTCCATTTATTCTCCAGGATGTTAAATTTAACTTCCAGAAGATTATTTTTAAATTGGATGTATCTCTTTGTTTTTATGAAGAGAGCTATGCGGTTAGCTTTAGCATCTGTGTTACTCGTCCTTAAATGCACAACAGAGCCAAGATGTAAAGATTCTTGGGAGTGGTATTATATTAATGTTTTGAATGGCCAGAATATTAAACTTTTCATATAAAACACTATTTACTGGTTAAAACTATGTAACATTAGTGTTTTAAAACTACTTAGCTAACTAAAAAAAAAAAAAATCTGTTCCTTTTACTCGTTTGTGACAGTAACGTCCCAAGTGCTGTACTCTTCAAACCTGTAATTGCTGTTACAGGGTTTGTATCAGTCAGGAAAAATTGCTCAGACTTTTACAACTCACTCCCTTTCTTGTTGCTGTTTGCTGACAATATTTAATTCATTGCTTACCTTTTGAGAATAATCTTAGCCATGTAAGGAGCTCTTAGACGGAGTTCAAAAGACCTTAGTAGTAGTTAATATTACTAAGATGGTGGGATTATTCTATCAAGTGTATGCTCTGTTTCACTGGATTTTAATGAAATTATTTGGTGTGTGTGGGTAATATTCGAAATGAAGGCAAATTAGTGCTGGAACCCAGGAGGTGAAAACTGCCTGCCTGCGCTGCAGTGCCAGCTAAAATTCTGTTGCCATTGGATGCTGTTTTGTGGTGGTGTCTAAATGCCTCCAACTATTGCATCTTTAAGTATTTCTGAAATCCTAGCAGCTCTTCTTAAACTCACTAAAGTGTTTTGCTCTTTTTGCCTGCAGTAATCCTGTGGATTTGAGTAACCCAGCCATTATTAGCTCTACCCCCAAATTTCAGGAGCAGTTTCTGAATGTGAGTGGGATGACTCAAGAACTGAATCAGTACCCCTGCCTTAAACACCTGCCTCAGATATTCTTTCGTGCCATGCGTGGGATCAGCTGTTTAGTGGATGCGTTCCTAGGTAATGCTTTTGTTGTACCTGTGGATAGCTAGGAAGAGTAAATTTATTCTTATTTTAGTCTCTTTAACTCTGTCTTTTCCAAAAATACAGCCTTAATTTATCATTTGTAAGTATATCCTGGAATTGTGAGGGAAGGGACCCCAGGTCATTTTTAAATGACCATCTGTACACACCATGATAATATTTGAATGCTCGAGGTTGTAGATGGCCTTAGTTTCAGGTGCAAACCAAATAAATCTGGAGTCTAAAATAAAAGCAGCCATCGCTTCCCTACTCAAGGTGTCTCTTCGTGTCTAATCCACAATCTGTTTTGCCTTTAGCATGTGAGCACTGGCTGTTTTGTTTGTAGACTTTGTGGAGACAGCTGTGTGTGGTGCCTGTTTTTATAAGGTACTGGATTTTGACTGTCATCTTCAGATCTCATACTACAAGTGCCAGTTTCCCGTAGTTTACGATTACTGGGTGACTGCTGAGAAGAGAAGCTGGGTTTCTTTGTGCCCGCTGGTAGCTTGGTAGCTCAGATTTGACTGAAAGGTAAAGTAGATGTGAGCACTGGCTGGTTAAGTTTTAAGTAACACTGCACAGCACCTGAAATCTGAAGAATTTTTAGTATGCTTCAGGCTTATTAAAAATTCTTCAGAGAAAAGACACCATTGTAAACTCTGAAGAGCTGCCAGTCTCCTACTGCTTTTTTGCTTCAATGTCTGCAAACAATGTGTGCTTCTGTTGTCTGCCAGAAGCGTGAGCTGATGTGAGACTGCAGAAGACTTGAGCCCACGCGCAAACTGTGTTCAGGGAAAAAAACTGGCTGTGGAATTAGACTGTCAGCTTCTGCATGTTTGCCTTCTGTAAAAACCTGGATGGTTTAGTCCGTTTTAAGCAAAGCACCTTAAGAATCTCCTGTCTCACTGAATTATAAGATCCTTCTTACTGGAAATAGATTATGCATTTTTGTACAAATATTGCAAGGAAAAGGTTTATTGGTGCTTTATTCCTCACTGCAAGCAAGCTTTTGTCACTATAGATTTCATTTTTATAGAAATATCTTTGTTTGAACAGTTACTAAAATGATGTGAAAGAGTAAATGATCATTTCTCATAATCCTTGATATCGAATCTTGAAACTCGTTACGTTCACTGTCTTCTGGATGACTTGTCACTGATTTTAAGGAGTTTTAATGGTTGCTTTTTACTAATACCAAATGTGAGATTTCAGATATTCAGTAGGCATCAAATATGGCCGGAATTTGTTAGAGGAGGATTGTGCGTAGCCCGTATACAGCCTAACCCTACAGAAAGAACCTCCTTGTGTTATTCCTCAGACTCTGTCTTCTCACCTCTGATAATAGGATTTGGAAGTCTGTGCTACAGCAGCAATAAAAAAAAAAAAATAGAAGCCCAGTGGAGCGTTAGTAGGAAGTGTTCCTCTGAAGTGTCTTTAACTGTTTTTTTTTAAAATGCTATTTAGTACTATCTATTGCATTGTATTTTGTTATATATTGAGGAAGGACATACTATATCCAAGATTTTTGTGGAAGTGTGGTTAGTAATTAGTTTTCAGTGATGAAAATAGTTTGCAATCTGAGTCGTGAGGGAGGCACCTCGCAGTGGAGGCAGCGCACGCACCGCTGCTGCACGAGCTCCCGCGGTGAATTCCTCCCGCACCTTCCGATTAGCCTGGGGTTCTCACCCCAGACCTGTGACCCGCCGACGGTGCGCTGGGCCTTCCCCATCTCGCTGCCTGCCGCTCCGTGCTGCTGGGGCAGCACATTGTCGGGGCGGGGGGGCGTGACGGTGCCGGGGGTTGAGGTGTCCCGGGCTGTGGGGTGTGCTGCCAGCCCCCGGCAGCCCAGGCTCTCCTGTCAGCGTGCCAGGAGCTTTGCTGTTCACATCCTGTCCAAGGATGTTGAATCGGAGACTTCAGACTTCTGAAGATCTCTTGTAGCACCATGAAGCCCCTGCGGTGACGATCGCCCGCCTGGAGTTCAGAGACTGCAGATCATGATGTGCTTGGGCAAGGAGAGCTCCCGGAGAAGTGGAATTCAGGCTGTTGGTGTGCCCCAGAGGTGCAGTATGCACCCCTCCAGCTACGGCTGACAGGAGATCTCATTGCCTTCTGGCCGAGTGCCAAAGCGTGTTTTTTGTCCTGCCCTCCCTGATACGTACCTGACGTGTGTGTTTGGCAAAGTACTGCGTCCTCTCTTCAAGAAAAGCGTGACCAGAATGATACATCTCACAGTGCTTGCTCTGCCTTCTGCACGGGGGAAACACTAATGGTTTAGCAGGAGTTAGCTGCTCTGTAATGTGCTGTGGAAAGTTCTTGGGTGCTCTAATGAACATGGCCATAAAAATCTATGTCAGGCTTTGAAACGTGCTGCACTTCCCCACTGAAGTGCTCAGATGAGGTGTGAGGGTGGTGGCACCCCTGAAAATGGGAAGAAGCAATGTTTGTCAATTAGTTTTGCAGAGGGTTACTTGCTTCCAATTCTGACTGAAGAGTAGCTTTGTATACCATGAGTATTTCCTTGAAGCTTAGTAAAGGCTGATCTAATGTCCTCCTGCTGCCACAAAAGTGATAGTTTAATCTGCTTTCTTATGCCATCTCTTGTACTGACGTAGTATTTGGCTGCTCAGCCAGCTGATTTGGCTCACAAAACCAGCAGAACACTGCACGGAGGATGGGTTTCCTCTTAATTTAGTGAGCTGAGGTGGCTTTGGAGGGTCTCAGACAGCTCAGAGGTGTTTCCGAATGGGGTGTGGGAGGTATGGATGGGAAGGAAAGGCAAAGGTGAGAGGCATCTGGATTTTGGCAGGAGTGAGGGGCTGTCGAATTGGCTTTGGCAGATGAGCCTTGCCCCTCGCACTGCGCCTGCTTGCTGCCTCCGGGTGCCATTTCCCACGCCCTTAAGGTATGAGGTTCTTGGGTGGTTTTTCATCCCTTGCTTATCTCCTGTAAGAGCTCGTGCATTTATTTCTGCTAGTAGTAAAAAGGGAAGGATGCTTTTCTTACTCCTGCTGTTCTGGGGGGCAGGAGGGGAAGCCAGCCTATTTACAGAAGGCCCAGGTGCTCCTGAACTCGGCTGCTGTGTGTGCTGGGGAATACTTGCTGAAAACTTGCTTTATTTCTTAATCTACAGGCATTTCACGCCCTCGGTCAGACAGCGCGCCCCCCACGCCCGTAAATCGGCTGAGCATGCCGCAGAGCACTGCCATCAACACCACTCCCCCCCACAACCGAAGGCATCGGGCAGTGACTGTGAACAAAGCAACGATGAAGACCAGCACTGTAAGGCTTTGTATTCCCTGTTGAAGTAGCTGACCCTTTGGAGGGTTTCCTCAGTTAGAGGAAGTAATTTCCTGGCTTCTAGGAGCTGATCTGTTCTTCTGTTCAAACAGGTAACTACTGCACATACTTCAAAAGTGCAGCACCAGCCCTCCTCTACTTCTCCACTCTCTAGCCCAAACCAGACAAGTTCTGAGCCACGACCACTACCGGCTCCTCGCAGGCCAAAGGTTAACAGCATCCTGAACCTCTTTGGATCGTGGTTATTTGATGCGGCGTTTGTTCACTGCAAACTTCACAATGGAATAAACAGAGACAGCAGCATGACTGGTAAATATTACTGAAAAATGGACATATACTTTTTTCCTTGTTTTATTGACATTTCCTACCTGCAAGATTAACATAGGCGTAATCAGAAAAACCCAAACTCAAGTGCTGTGTTGTGATTAACCCCTCCCAGCTGAGCCAGCACCTGTTATTAGATGAGCAGGTGTTGGAGGGCTTTAAAATTTTTTAAAAAAATTACTTTTTACTATTAAACACTCTCTTGCTCTATCAAGCATGGCAGTCCCAATTATGCTAGTGGGGAAAATCTTATTAAGTGAAGGAAATAATGTGATGAGAGAGTCCACTTCCTAATTTGAAATCTACTTGAGCATCTCTGAGTAATAGCAACTTTTTATAGTGACTCTTCAACATTTGAAAAACTGTCAAGCATCACTCCAGATACTGCACAAAATGATACTTCTCCTTGGTTTTGGGCAGCATTACGAAAAAAAAAAGTCCTTAAAATAGCAAGTGATGTTGCTGCCTTTCGGTGACAGCTGCTACGTGTTTCCGTATATGGCTGGATCCCTTGATTGTCACGTTGACTTTGTCTCCTGTGCTTCGCTCAGCTGCAGAGGTTGGATGTTTTGAGGCTCAGTAGAGGAGTTAGTGCTCTGCTCAGAGAGGCTTTTCAGCACTCTTCTTCCTTTTGGTGATAATATTCAGAAAAGAACGAACTTTCTCACTCCTTGCGTTTTTCCTGTTCTTCGTGTGGTGTTTTGAATGTCTGCTAAACTCTTCCAAGAGATCTGTCAGAAGCCCACAGGAAAAGTAGGAGGAAGAGGTTTGTAGCAGGTTGGGTTTATGGTGGTTAAACTGATCATCTTCTGCGTTTGTTGTGTCACAGATCTCTGTGTGGAGGCAGCGGGTTAGGGTTTGGGATCTAGGTCTGCAGCACTTGGTTTTAAAGGATCAAGTTCCTCTGTAAAAGGGCCTCGACACATTACTAGAGAAGTAGCTGAGCCGAGATAGGAGTAAGGCGTAATTTGAGAGTGTGTTCAGTTGCATATGCGGCTAATGTGTTTCTGTGTGTAATGGTTTAGCTCAGTCATTTGAGCGAGGTCGCGGGTTCGATTCCCGTTCAGTCCCCATGTGTTGCCTGATCTAGTCGAGAGGTGACGTCCCTGGCGACAGGGAGGCTGGATTAAATGATCTCTAAGGACCCTTCCAGCTTAGGCCATTCTATGATTTCTATGATTTTCAGATTGATTGGATCATTTTAATTTTGACATAACCTGTATCTTGAGCAGTTTTAATGAAGTGCTTAACCTGGGAAGGATGTCGGGCGAGATGCTGCGTGTGTGACAGTGTCAGCTGTAAGCAGAGGTGGTGTGATTCCAGCAGAATACGCAGTTATCCAAAATAAATATGATCGACTTCCTTGAAAGGATTCCAGGGTCTTTTATTCATATATGTGATGTCTTAAGTCACCTGACAGCAGTCAGCAAATTGTCATATGGCTGACCTTACAGAGGGACTTGCTAGCTTCCTGAAAACTAGAAACAACTATTTGGAAATTGCTTGATTCAGATCCTCCTTCCTGCTCTTCTGAGCTGTCCATAGTGGGACCAGTCTTTGCATTCCACATGTTCTGCCCTGTTGTAGCAGCCGTGGCTCTGACTGAATTTTGTTGGTGGAGACCCAGAAAACTGGGTGGGTGATGTCCTGCTTTTCTAGCTATTTAGAAGACAGAATTAACTTACGGGATCTGGTTAAGTGTTTGCTGCCCATCCAGGATGCCGTGAGCGTTGTTATTGCTGTGTAAAGTGCCGGTCACAGCAGCGCTGGGACACGCTGTTGGAAGGAGAGCGGACTTGTGCTCGATCTCTGCTTTAGGTGGGAAAGTGCAGCAAGACTTGTAGAGGAGTAAGCTCCTGTTGACTCAAAGTGTCAGTGTCTTCTGAATCAAGTTTAAGTCCAAACTGAAAAGTCTCCCGTTTGGGGAGTCTAATCTGTGAAGACACCTTCAGGTGAAGTCTTTTCCACCTTGAACAGTGGAGGCAGGAGTTGGCATGCTGGGCTCACGAGGTGGGCCAAGAGGAGATCCTGGGGACTGTGCTCCCCCTCCAGCACACAAGAGGGGCCCAGGAACAGCAATCAGATCTGCATGTTGTGCCCGACCATCTGCTTTGCTATCCAGTAAAGATGTGGCCAGAAGAAAGAGGGCAGCAGAAAAGGGACAGTTAGCTGCCATGACCCCTGCTCTTAGGAAAGAGGCCAGAAATAAATCTGCTTCTTTTTGGCTGCACGTTGGCTGTACCTATATAACACAGTCCACCTGCTGGCCTCTGTAGCCCGGCACGGTAATGCTTCTGCCACCAGCTTGAGTGCTCTCACCCTATCTGACACTGCTGTTGGTCATCTTTGCATTGGCTTCAGGAAGCACGATTATTTTTATGGATGCTTTAAGTAGTTTATGATTGGGAAGTGACCGCACTTGACACCAGCTTTGCTATTTAGTATTGTCTTCCACTGGCCCACGTGCGCTGTTTTCCAGCCTAGGCCATTCTATGATTTTTCCTCTTAGGTCTGGGACTGCAGCTGTACAAGATCTCAACCAGTTTTACGCCTTTCTGATGTTCCATTTGTTTCAATGCCATGCAGCTAATTTCTTCTCTCGCAGCTCTCTGATACAATTTCTCCATTTCGTTCCTGGCTGGAGGACCGAGGCCCACTTTTGTTTAATGCAAATTTTGATACAAATTGCTCCTCAGTCCTGCAGAGAGATCCTGGGACACCTTTTGGGAACACTGCGTTTTCTAGTGCCTGTTTCCTATTCCTCTTCTGTCGTGTGTCGCGTTCGCAGCGAGAACTCAGATGACATCATTTCTAAAGAGACGTTCGAGCTAAATGCGAGTGCCTAACAAGTAACTCTGTGGATGAGCTGCAGTCTCAAGTTCTAGTTCAGAATTTAGTTCAGTTCTTTTAAAGGAACCCCACTGATTCACATGGACTACACACTGTCCTCCTGCCATCTCACAAGTCTTTGAGATGAGCTTTAGGAAGTAAAGGCTGAGGTTGATGTGAATGAGTACCTGTCTGCTGACACTTGGCTTTTCCCTTGTCCTGGAGTCTCACATATCTTGCTGGTCAAACTCTCTAACCTCTAGAAAGGAAGTCAAGAAAGATAACTGGTGGCACTGACATGCAGCTTTTTGTAGATTCTGAGATGAAAACGGTCTGGATGGATGGAAGGTAACTGAACTTACTCTGCTTCAGCCTCAACTCCTCTCTGGTTCTGTTGGTCCTGCTGCTGCTCCACTGTTGCTCAGTTTTCTGTCACCTTCGTTGGCAAACTTCTTGTACGAAACCCTTGCACAATTCAGGATAATTGTAGGTGTTTCACATTGGTGGTTGCTGTGGTTTTGTCTCCATCTCTGTGGGAAGAGAGAATCGTTCACTCCCGCAGGATTAGCTGGAGGCCATGTGTGAATGGCTGAGTACCGGGGGAGTTTGGCACCTGGGAGGCAATCTTCCCCTTTACTCTCTGAGCCTCGGCCTTCGAGATAGTCTTGTGTTGTTTGGATTCTGAAGTGAACTAGTGACCTTGGCCTTTGTTGGTGCATTGCTTTTGTGCCCTGGCTGTCCCGTTTTAGTCTCTTGCACCGACACCTTGACGGTGAAGCTTTACGGCTTTGTAGCAGGCAGCATGAGTGTTGTATTATGGTGAGAGAACGTGCAGTTGGTTTGGAAGGAGCTGGATCCTGCTGATGGAGTCTTTAGCATTAGGTGGCTCCATGCCATTTATGTAGCTGTCAGGCTGGCATAAATTGCTCTCTGTGATTGGTACTTGAGAAAATCCCTTTGTGAGGAAGTGGCTACGAAGCTTTTGTGAAGTTACTCAGGATTATGACAGCTCCGTGTGCCGGGTGCGATTTCACTGGCAGGCTGGGTTTCACTCAGACAAGCTTGGCCCCGCAGCGTCTGCAAGGCCTCAACAACTTGGGAGAATTGGGAGAAACTGCGAATACCTCATGCCAGCATTTCAGGAATGGAATCTTTCCATCTGATGGGTTTGTTCTTAATCCTCCTACCTAAAGAATTCGGTCACAAGCCTGCCCGTGTGCGTGCGGCAGCTGCTGGCGTTCTCCCAAGGTGGTTGCTGGTGTCACGCGGTGCTGTTGGCAGTGAAGGGAGTCTTGGGCTACAGTTTTACTCTCGTCTCTTCTGGCCCTACTGTCACTGCTGTCCCAAGGAATGCTTTGGGGGGGTCTAGGAGCAAACTCCAGGAAACCCTGATGAGGGAAATGTTGAGTGTTGCCGAGGGGCTCGGTCGCTCTGCCCTGCCCTGCCGGTGCAGAGAAAGGCGGTGGTGGTCTCTCCTGGCACCCGGCTTTTGGAGCCTTTTTTTTCCCCGGAGGTTTTTCGAGCTGTTGCTCTTTCTGGAAGTGTTCTGCCTTTTCTTTGCTTCGGAAGGCAGGTGGGGGAGCTGGTGGGTGGTGGTTGTTAGCAGCCTGGCGTGGGGCCGCCGGAGGAGCTGGAGGTTGGGCAGCAGGAGCGCTTGCTTGCAGGCTCGGCAGGGGAGGGCACTTCCCCCCGCCG